ACATCCCACACATGTACCTGCATCCGATGATCATGCAGAGTCGGATGATGATGATCTTGGTGTGGGCGATGATCAGATAGATGGGAGAGATCTTCGAGGGTATGATGATCCGAGTGAGATTCATACCATTGATGGGAGATTTTGGATTTGGCCTGAAGGGAACTCGTAAGTTTCTTATTTATTGATTTTTATTTATAAGTACACATTTCCATTTTTAATATAACTTTATATACTTAATTATGATAATTCAATTATTGTTGTTTTAGTTTCGGGCCAAGTCGGACTGCTGCTAGGGTTGTAAATTATATAATTCAGCAGAATTATACAAAATTTTTGAAGAGTTTTAGAGAAGTTTCCAATAAAGACGAATGGTTTAAGCAATTCCAGGTATAATTAATTTATTTCTTAAGTTATTTTTATTTAAATGACCTTTTCATTATTGTTATAATTTATCTAACTATTTATTTTAATGTCATACAATATTGCAGGCAAAATGTGTTTGGGATCTACTGAACCATAACAAAGTATAAAAAAATATTTTGGCAGGAGTTTAAGACGACTTTCTGACATGCTACGACGTGTTAGAGAGAATTGACAACTTTTGGGCATTCGTCCCAAATGGATAGGCAAAGAAGTTTTTGAACAACTTCTTAAGTATTGAGAATCAGATGAATTTAAGGCTAAATCTAAAAATTCAAAGAAGATGAGGGCATCGAAAAAAGGGGGTTGCCTTAATGCTGTTGGAAGTATTAGTACTGCTGAGCATGCTCGACGCATGGTAATTATTACCACTTTTTAAAGTCATATTTGGATTTATAACATATATTATTAATTTAAGTTAATTTTTTTATTTAGGATAAGCGTTTGGGGAGACAACCATTTATGACTGAGCTGGTTACCGAAACTCGGACAAAGAAATCGGGAGGATTTATTAACGAGCGTACAAAAAAAGCCCTGGTAAGTAAATTTATGTTTATATATATATTTTTTAAGCAATTTTGTGACGTGATTTTCACGTAGCAAGTGAGATGTTATGGCGTGAAAATTGAGTGGCAACTAATAAGTTGTGGCGTTATAATCACGTGGCTATTTGTTTTTTTTAATTGTTTTTATTTAATTTAATTTCATTAATTTTACTTATATATTTAACTTGTTTTTTTATTGTATGTGTAGGAAGATTATCAGGCATTGCTTGTAGAATTTCTGACCCATAATCCTCAGTATACTCCTCCTCTGGGAAAACTGGTTCATCCAGATGTGGATTTCTATATTTGGAGTCAAGTTGTTGGGGGAAAGGGGCCTAATGGGTGTTTTTTTGGTGGTGGAAATTTGGTGGGCACCTTGAGGTGTGGGGATAAAAATCTGTATCAGAGAGCTGTGGACGGTGAATGAGGGTCACGTCAAACAAATTTGACACCAGATCAGTTAGAACTGGTAAGACAATTGGCTAGACGCGAGTCCGAAGAACGTGAGGCGGCATTGAAGGCCAAAATGGAGGCAATGAGGGGTAAACATAATAGAGAAATTGAGGCAATGGCGAAGAGGCAGGCTGATATGGAGGAGAAAATGCGATAATTTATGCAAGCATTTGGTAGAAATCCCAATAGTGGTGGCCAAAATAATAACCACCAAAATAATGATGACTTTCTTCGGACTTTTCCGACGACTCGGATGATCCTTCTGCTTAGTTTTATTTTTATCTTCTATTTAGTTTTTTAATTGTGTAATATAAATTTATAATCATATTGTATATTTAAAAATATTAAATTTAAATTTTAGTTTATTAAATTTATAATATTAAGTATATTAATTTATACATTTTGATATATTTAGTTTTATTTTTGATAATTTGATTTATAATATTGTATTTAATAAATAAATTATAATATTTAATTTATAAATTTAATGAAACAAAAAATAATATTAATTATTATATCAGAATTAATATATTTAAAACAGAAAATAATAATTAAAAAAAAACAAGTTGCGGCGTGTTTTCCACGTCACTAATTAGTGACATGAAAAACACGCCGCAACACCAAACGTAAAAGTAAATATAAAACATGCTCTGACCTCTGCTCTGCTCTGAATTCCTTTGACCCTATAAAGTTTGTTGCGGCGTGAATTTCACGTGGCAACGTTGTGACATGTTTTCCACGCTGCAACAAGATTGCCACGCGCTCTCCAGCGACGTGTTTCTTAAGGTGGCAAAAATGAAGTTGTGACGTGATTTTGGTGTTAGCGGCGTGGGATTCACTTGACAAAACACAACTTATTTTGTAGTGTTCATGTTCACGTTAATATTCAATATTTTGATTACTAACTTCATGTTACCGTTAATATTCAATAGTTTGATAAATAACGTCATGTTCCCGTTAATATTCAATATTTCAATCAGTAAATTCACGTTTCCGTTATTATTCAATATTTTGATCAATAACTTCATGTTCCCGAGTATTCAATATTTTGATCAATAACGTCATGTTCTCGTTAATATTCAATATTTTAATTAGTAAATTCATGTTTATGTTATTATTCAATATTTTTATCAGTAACTTCATGTTCCCGTTAATATTTAATATTTTGATGAGTAATTAAATATTCCCTTTATTATTCCATATTTTAATCAGTAATTTCATGTTTATGTTAATATTCAATAGTTTGATCAATAACTTCATGTTCCCGTTAATATTCAATATATTGAAGTAACTTTATGTTTTCGTTAATATACAATATTTTGATTAGTAGCTTGATGTTCCTATTAATATTTAATAGTTTGATAATTAAATTCATGTTCCCGTTAATATTCACTATTTTGATTATCAACTTTATGTTCTTGTGAATATTCAATTTTTTATCAGTAACTTCATGTTTCCGTTAATATTCAATATTTTGATCATATTTTTAAAAGAAGGAGATATTTTTTAATTAAAAATAAATTAATTTTACCAAAATTGTTTTACTGGTATGATACGCACGATTTTGTTTTCATAATATAATAGAATAATAAATAAAAAAATACAAAATTTCCTAATCAAAATAAATTATTATTTTTAATATATATATATATATATATATATATATATATATATATATATATATATATATATATATATATATATATATATATATATATATATATATATATATATATATATATATATATATATATATATATATATATATATATATATATATATATATATATATATATATATATATATATATATATATATATATATATATATATATATATATATATATATATATATATATATATATATAAGATAAATAAAATAATTTTACCAAAATAGTTTATTTTTTAAAAAGAAAGACATTAATAATAAATAATTTAATTATTCATATATTATCTATTGTATTTTCAATTAAAAATAATTTTAAAATAAAATATTAGATACATAAATAATTAAAAAAATAATACATTTTTTTTGTGTTTCGGTTCATAAATTATTTTAAATATATTTACTTTTATTTTCTGTAATTGTATAAAAAATATAATAACCTGTGCATTCACACCAATTTTGGTCTGGTTACCCGTGCGTTCACACGGTATTGATGTATAACTCGTGCGTTCACATAGATTTTGACATGACTACCTATTCGCTCACACGTTACTGGTGTGTCACCTGTACGTTCACACGTTACTAATATGTTACTCGTACGTCCGCACAGATTCTGGTGTGTTACATGTGAGTTTACAAAGGCACTTGTGTGTTACACACGGTTTTGTTTTCAAAATATAATAAAAAATTTAATAAAAAACCAAAATTATTTAACCAAAATTAATTTATTATTTAGCGGTGATATTCTTCTACAGATATGCCAACTATCCTCTCTCTTTGTCTTGGATCTCTTAAATAATAGAGATTGATTATAAAAATGACTAACAATATTGTCCCTGACACAATATTATAAGTCAAATTATTTAGAAAGTAGCACAAACAATATGATGCTTTGAAAATATTATTATATAGAAATCAAGACAGTTTTAATATTATATTTTACCATAATCATAATTAATTAATATATAGGAAGGAGTAAAACTATAATTCCACCATGATTAATGTCACTTAGAATACTGAACCACTTAGAAAATTATAATCGATTGATTATTTTAAATTAACAATTATTTAATTTACATAATAATTTTAAACTATAATCAGTTGACTATTTTAAATTAACAATTATTTAATTTACAGAATGATAGTCATGATGGATTATGGATAACAATTACAAAATTGACAATGAATAGGAGGTGTTGAAAAGACATGGAATGAAACTGTGTTGTGGGAGTGTTTAGGAGAATATGAAAATCTGAAATAGAGATTAAAGAAAATATCCACGTAAAATGTTTTTGAAATAAAAAGACAATGAGTAAAATAAATTTTGTTATATTATAGATAATTGTGACTATTTTTTTATCAATTATAATGAGTAGTTATTAAGTATATTATATGATTATAAATAAGTATGATCATTTTTTTTTACGGAGTAGATAAGTATGATAATGATAATGATGGTACGATTTTTATGATGAGTTGTAGATATTCTGTAACCGTTTTTACTCTAATAAAAATCTTCTCCCACCATTTACCGCACTTCTTGACTAACCTTTCACGATTTCGTTCGGTTATTTTCATTTTGATATTAAAAAGGAAAATAAAATATATCTTTTATTACCAAAAATTCGTCTATAAATAGCAGTAGTATCAGTGCAAGCATTGTATAGTTGAAAATAAAGCGAAAAGGAAGAAAGCATGAGTCGTGGAAACCAGAAAGAGGTGAATCATTTTCTTCCCATTTCATTTACAAATCGTTTCGTTACTGAATGCTTGTTTACGAGATTTTCTTTCTTTCTGTATATAATTCTGCATTTTCCGACGACTTGATCATCTTCCCGAGACTGTTCGATGCATCTTCCAGTCACTGTTCGAGGCCCCTTCCGGTGACTGTTCGATGCATCTTCCAGACACTGTTCGATGCGCCTTCCGGTGACTGTTCGACGCATCTTCCAGTCACTGTTCGATGCGCCTTCCGGTGACTGTTCGATGCATCTTCCAGTCACTGTTCGATGCGCCTTCCGGTGACTGTTGGATGCATCGTCAACATTTGTTTTTGATTTTCTTTATTTCCGATTTTACATTTTTCTCCGGCGACATGTGCACTCTTCAGTTACGTTTTTATGCGTCTTGGTTTGTTTCTTGTTTCTTCCCGATTTTACATTTTTCCGGCGACTTGTGCAGTTTCCGTATAAGATTTTATACTCCGGTAATACAGTTATTGCTCGTGATGATTAGCGATTAATTTTTGCCTAACTGTTTGTAAGTGTCTGATGCAGTTTTTTTAAGTACAAGTTGTGTGATTCTGTTACGAAAACCGTGGATTGGATTTAAGCGTAACTGTTTTGCTTCCTAAGTAATAATTACTATACGTAAATATTAGTTACGGAAAAAATGACGATATTGAGTAGTAGAGATATTGACTCTATTATTCGCTACTTTTATGATAAAGAACATATTGCGGTTAATTCATACGCGCCTAACTATTTTTATGTTAATTTGCTTATTATTTTATTTGTTTATACAACAATGCTTTGTAGCACACAGGCTCACACACAAATGACTGTGTAATTGGAAATGTTTAATATCATAATTCTGTTTTGCTCGAGTTCGATGGTGCATCCAGTGGAAATCCTGGAAAATCTGGTGCAGGAGCTGTACTGCGTTCTGGGAATGAGGTGTATACTCTATGTATCAATTCATATTTGTAACTATATACTATAAACTAGATATCAAATGTAGCTAAATCTTGGATTTCTTTAAAGGTCCATCGCTTCAGTCGAGGACTGGGCACTCAAACAAATAATTCTGCTGAGTATCAAGGTTTAATTTTGGGATTGAAAGAAGCCAATAACAAAGGGTATGATCATGTTGAAATCCGAGGTGATTCGAAGCTTGTCTGCGAGCAGGTTAGTTTAGTTCTTCTAATTGTTCACGAAATATCTTCCTTTTTATAATATTTGTAACTATATACTATAAACTAGATATCAAATGTAGCCAAATCTTGGATTTCTTTAAAGGTCCATCGCTTCAGTCGAGGACTGGGCACTCAGACAAATAATTCTGCTGAGTATCAAGGTTTAATTTTGGGATTGAAAGAAGCCAATAACAAAGGGTATGATCATGTTGAAATCCGAGGTGATTCCAAGCTTGTCTGCGAGCAGGTTAGTTTAGTTCTTCTAATTGTTCACGAAATATCTTCCTTTTTATAAGGAATTTACCATGACATTTTATTGCTATATAAAAATTTACCCTAATATTTTATTGCTTTTGCAACAGTTTGCAGGTAAATGGAAAGTCAATAACCCGAATTTAAGAGACTTGCGTAATAAGGCTTTGGACTTGAAGGATAATTTCAAGTCAGTCACTGTTGAACATGTTCCTAGGGTATTATCCTCTGCTCTATTTTGTTTATTGACATAATGAAATAATGTTTCTCAAATTGCCATCTTTCTTAATTGGATTTTGATCTATGGCACCACTGTCATTAGTCCTGTATATTTTCCCTTATTTTATGGTAATTTTAACAAATGCCTTTCCTTTTTTTTAATGTTTTAAGGCTTCTAATAGAGAAGCTGATGCTCAAGCAAGTCGGTGCAAAAATCTTGAAGGTTAGACTTCAAATCTTTTCTGAGTTTTGGTTTCTCAATTACTCTTGTGGCATCTTGGTATATCTTGTGTTTAATATATCTTTTGGCTTTTTAAGAAAAATGAGTTACCAATAAATTGAATCCTAAGCTGATTTGAAATTGAAAAAAGGAGAACTAATGAATAGAATCATTTACTTTCAATTTGTATTTGGAAGGACCATAAATTCTAATGGATCTTATATTTTTGCAGCTGGCCAAGTTCAAGAAGACTATTACTACTACTGATCATCTGTGACAGCATGCCACTATCAAAAACTATTGGCAACTATGTTACTTTTTTGTTTCCTGCAAGAGACGCCACACGTGACATCTAAGACGGCACATACGTATCACTTCAAGAGCCACCACAACACCAAGCAATGGGATGGGATGGTTTTAAAACTAACCAGCCAAATGTTTACCGTTTTATAGGCAAGACAAACAGGAACAAGAAACCAACACCGATTACGCAAGCAAGCGATGAAAATTGATGGGGAATGTTGTGTTCACCGTTCGGTGGAAAAGCATGGAGCCAGCAAACACAAACATTCGCAATGCCACTCACACGCCCCCGCGTCAGCAAGATCTAACATTGCGTAACGTACCACCCCCCGCGATGCCAAGGCATGCAGGCAAATGGAAGCATCGAACAACGCCGGTTCTGCCGCACTAGGCATGAAAAACCAACCCGAGCAACGGGGCTAATTTTCCGAGCCACGCACACACGCGCGCGCCTTGTCCTCGTCCTCGTCCAAGTCCCAAGTCCCAATCGCGACATTTCGCGTCATTTCGCGCCGCGTTGCTTTTGCCCAAGGCAAAAATCACATCGGATTGCGCCGTCCGTGACCACGACCGTCGCACCGCGCACCCCGATAAAATTTTGATCTTCGACCAACGGACGATTCGATGACGGGAATGCCAAAATTTGACATGATTTTGCGGCAAAACTTCGATCGCAACTCCCATGCCCCGCCGCCCGAACGTCCGTGACCAGGTCCGGACGAGCCACTCGGCCGGGCACGGGCACCGCAAAATTCTAGCAAATTTTTTTCTTCGCCCAAAGAACGATTCGATGGTTGGAATGCCAATATTTTATTGGGTTGTGCGGCAAAACTTCGATCGCAACTCCGATTCCGTCGACGGGACCATCCGTGGCATGCCACGGACCTTCCGTGTGGCCGGCACGGGCACGCAAAATCCAGCCAAATTTTGAATTTTTTTTATCAAGAACGCTCGATTCGATGATGAAAATTCGATATTATGATTGGATTTTGTGCGGGGGTTGATGGATTTGCCATTGGAATCGTTTGGAACACCCATGGGCATGTTCCGTCTAGGCAGCATGTGGTCTGGCCTGGGCCTGGCAAGGCCCCAGTCGGACCAGGCAAGGCCCCAGTCGGACCAGGCAAGGGCCTCCCCCTATATATGTTTGAACTGAAATCCTCACTTTGCCACCAAATTGGTCCATTTTTCCCTGTAGACATAAATTTATAGTTTGATGACTTAGACTTCGAATTTTTTCTTGATTTTTTGCATGCTCTTTAAACACAATATAAGAACCCCTCCCACCAAAAATTAGAATTTTTCGACTTTGGATGAATTAATTATGAATTTTTTAAGCGCCGGATTTTCTAGAACGGGAGCGGAGGCAAACGCGCCTTAGGAATGGAATTTCCCGATGATTTTTTGCATGGACATCTCAAATAACACATAGAATGGATGTGCAAAGTTTCGTAGCGTTTCGATAACGTCTCGATTTATTTTGAATTTTCGTCCGAACGCGTGTAATTGAGTTTTTTTCAAGGGGCGGAAGCAAACAAACGTCGAGCTACGGAATGAGTTCCGGTCTGAAATTTTTCATGCATTAATCTGCCACCAAATTGAGATGGCATGCCAAGTTTCATGCCATTCGGGCGATCCCTCGATATATTTCGGCTTTTCGCGTGTCGGGCGCCCAAGGATTTTTTCCGACGGGAGCGGAGGCAAACGCGCCTTAGGGGAATAATCTCCCGATGAATTTTTGTATGGACTTCCCAAATAACACATTGAGAGTGTCCCTGGAGTTTCGTAGCGTTTCGACAAGCCCTCGATTTACTTTCAATTTCCGACCGGAACGCGTGCGTGTGCGGTTTCTCCATGAACGGGAGCGGAGGCAAACGCGCCTTTGGGGAATAATCTCCCGATGAATTTTTGTATGGAAGTCCCAAATAACACATAGAAGGGATCTGCAAAGTTTCGTAGCGTTTCGACAATTTTGAATTTCCGGCCCGAACGCGTGCGGGTGCGGTTTTTCCGACGGGAGCGGAGGCAAACGCGCCTTAGGGGAATAATCTCCCGAAGAATTTTTGCATGGACTTCCAAAATAACACATTGAGAGTGTCCCCGGAGTTTCGTAGCGTTTCGACAAGCCCTCGATTTACTTTCAATTTCCGACCGGAACGCGTGCGTGTGCGGTTTCTCCATGAACGGGAGCGGAGGCAAACGCGCCTTAGGGGAATAATCTCCCGATGAATTTTTGCATGGAAGTCCCAAATAACACATAGAAGGGATCTGCAAAGTTTCGTAGCGTTTCGACAATTTTGAATTTCCGGCCCGAACGCGTGCGGGTGTGGTTTTTCCGACGGGAGCGGAGGCAAACACGCCTTAGGGGAATAATCTCCCGATGAATTTTTGCATGGACTTCCCAAATAGCACATTGAGAGTGTCCCCAGAGTTTTGTAGCGTTTCGACAAGCCCTCAGTTTACTTTCAATTTCCGGCCGGAACGCGTGCGTGTGCGGTTTCTGTTGGAAATCCACCAAACTCTATGATGAATTTCGACCACCACTTGATGACTAGTTATGAGACAAACAAATAAAAGAACAATGGAGATATTTCTGCAGAATTTCTATTCTGCCCACAAACTGTGGAATCTTTATTAATTCACTTTGCAACTGCAAAATACTGTGAATTACTTCAATGACTTGAATTACAAAAATAAGGGTTACTCCCTCTTATTTATAGATTTAGGTTAGCTTGCTCCCTAAGCTAAACCCAAGCCCAAAAATATCTCTTTACTAAATCAAATTTAATCTAGATTTAAATTCAAATCTATTTAAATCTAAACAAATCAAATCTTCTTTTGACACATATGAATTACAATTTAACACACCACCTAATTCATTGTGTCTAAACTGTCTATGTTCATCATGGCCCTTAGCTTTCTGAATACTTCGACCTGCACTCCCTTTGTCATGATGTCTGCAATCTGATTCTCAGTTCTACAGTGTTCCAAATTCATCTTCTCATCTGCTACCTGCTCTCGAAGATAATGGAACCTCATTTCGATGTGCTTACTTCGACCATGTGCTATTGGGTTCTTCGCCAGGTTGATAGCTGACATGTTGTCTATCTTCATGGTAATTGCTCCATGATTTTTCCCTGTTATCTCTTCGACCAAGTTCACCATCCAGGTTGCTTGGCATGCACAAAGAGAAGCAGCTATGTATTCTGCTTCGCATGATGATAATGCTACTACTGGTTCTTTTCTCGAACTCCAAGCAATTGTTGCACCACCTAGCATAAACACATATCCTGCTGTTGACTTTCGATCTTCAGCATCACTACACCAACTCGAATCAGTGTATCCCACTAACTTGCATTCTTTTCCTTTATCAACTGCAGGAAACAGAATGCCATAATCGAAAGTTCCTTTGAGATACCTTAGTATCCTCTTCACAGCTGCTAGATGTGATACCTTTGGCTTCTGCATGAATCTACTTACCATACCTACACTGTATGCTAAGTCAGGCCTTGTATGACAAAGGTATCTCAATGATCCAATAAGTCTTATGTATTGGGTTGGATCAACATCATCTTCATCTGCATCTTTCGAAAGTTGTAGTCTTGGTTCTGCAGGTGTCGAAGTTGAGTTGCATTCTTCCATCTCAAACCTCTTGAGAATTTCCCCTGCATATCTTCTTTGATGCATCATCAAACCTCTACTGCTTTTGTAGAATTCGATACCAAGGAAATATGAAATCTCACCCAAATCAGACATTTCGAATTCCTTGCTAAGGTCAACTTTGAAGTCTTCGATCTCACTCTAGCAGCTACCTGTTATCAACAAATCATCTACATAGAGACATAGTATAAGCAATTTACTCTTGCTTCTTCTTACATATACTCCATGTTCAGTTATGCACTTCACAAATTCCTTCTCCCTTAGAAAACTATCAATTTTCTTATTCCAAGCCCTTGGAGATTGTTTCAAACCATACAGGGCTTTATGTAGCCTGTACACATTTCTTTCTTCGTCATGTTTCACAAAACCAACTGGTTGTTTAACATAAACTTCTTCATCTAAGGGTCCATTTAGGAATGCACACTTCACGTCCATCTGACATATGTGCCAACTGTTGATTTCTGCTAGACCAACAACCAACCTGATTGTTTCGATCCTAGCACCAGGTGCAAAAACTTTGTCGAAGTCTATTCCTTCTTTCTGTAGAAATCCTTTCGCCACAAGTCTTGCTTTGTGTCGAGTTACTTCACCTTTCGAATTAGTCTTCACTTTGTATACCCACTTGACATCAATTTCCTTCTTGCCTTGAGGCAATTCAACAAGTGACCAAGTGTTGTTGTCTTCGATAGACTTTACTTCTTCGTTCATTGCTTTCACCCACTTCGAATCCTTTAATGCTTCAGCTGCATTAACAGGTTCGACATCTGCATAGAAAGCATAATGTACCAGCTCACCTTCATCATCTATTACATCATCTGATGTAATCACACAATCTTGCAATCTTGCAGGCATGCGTCTTGTTCTTTGAGGTCTGCTTGTACTGGGTATATATGCTGGCTCCTCTTGTCGAACTTCTCTTTCGACTTGAGTTTCTGGCTCTTCGAATAAGATTCCCACTGAATCTTTCTTGACATTTGCAGTCCAATCCCATTCTTTGAACTCATCTATGATCACGTCCCTGCTGATCACAATCTTCTTGTTCTCTGGATCGAACAACTTGTAGCCTCCTGTCGAATGATATCCAACTAGGATCATTTGACTTGACTTGTCATCAAGTTTCTTTCTCAACTGATCTGGCACATGTCTATGTGCAATAGATCCAAATACTTTCAGATGACTTAAGCTAGGCTTCACACCAGACCAACATTCTTCTGGAGTAATTCCTTCTAGCTTATTTGTAGGACTTCTGTTCAAAATGTATGTTGCAGTCGAAACAGCTTCACCCCAGAACTCTTTGGGTAAAT